ATTATGCAAGATTATTAACCGTACAACTGTATATCGAGGTCTCTGTAAGGCCTTTCATTCCTGACATTTGAAAAGAATTAGGATAAATTTGCCAAAAAGCAACTTTCGTCGGTATTTTCAGTTCTCCGCAGTTCTCGTCAGTTCTCTTCTCTGCCTACCTAATTAACGATTGTCTAAGATAAGGTTACTGACCGTTCCTGATGAAGATAGGAACTGCAGAATAGTGTCTTTTGAAGGATGCCTATTCCCGCTAGCCTCCAGGAGTACCCCGGAACAATACCGACAACTAATCTTGGTCACGAGTCCGTTTAGGCCTTCATCTTATTAGAAATCACATCCATCTTTCTACCAGGATTGCTGCCGTCAAAATAGGCTTTCGCAATTGAGTAGCAATCGCTTACAGTATAGTAACTCAACTCGATAACCCCAAGCTATTACCATCCAGTATGATATAGAAAAGGGAATGCGTCGACTTCAATAACTGTATAGAGAGGACTGAGCGGTCTTGCAGATATATGTTAGGTAAACGTTATATTCGTATCCACCCTTCACTGAGATTATAATTCTTGCAACTCAGCCATCATGCTCGAAGATTTCGGCCGTTGTTTCTCACGAGAACACACATGAAGTCATACTGGGAAAATTCTCCACCAGACAATTTTAACCAATAATGTTATTGCAACTACGCCCAGCAAAACTATGACAACCTCGACCTCACACTGATCCAAAACGTGTCCACTGTTCTAATCCCAAGTACCAGATATGCGTTCCTCCTCGGTGTTTGCAATGGAGTCGATTATTTAGGTTGAACCGTAGTTTCCGGTCTAACCTACTGGAAAGGATGGTGGTCCTTTTACCTTTTTGAAGTTGATTGGGAAGAGAGAGGGGACTTTGGCCTTTGATCTAGCTACTTTTGCCTGCCTTGGATGCTTTCGACGAGCTTAGTAGCACTGTCATTCGTAATTGTCTTTCCTCTTTCAGAGAACAGTGACTCATTGGAGTCCGGTTTGAGTTTATCTACGCCTGGTTGTCGGCTGCAAGCCCAACTGACGCCCTGAATCCAGCGAAACTGACCTCCTGTTGGGGATGCTTCAATTTAGCGATGAAAGTCGGAGCAAACCGCCCAGTATTTGTACAGAGGTAGGTAATAGATAAATGAAAAGTTGGAGTCACTCTTTA